TATTATGATCAGATAATGCTTTAGAGGCTATTTCCTATCAAGATAATTCAATATGAACCATTTACTTAGCATATTTCAGGTTTGATTATTAAGTACAAAGAGCAAGAATTAAGAACTTCTATGGCATGAGTGTTTAGAAAACTGAAAAAAAATATTTTAATTACCCTAGGAATATACAACAATAAATGGTTTTTCATTCTCCCCAAATATAAATCAATTTTAATGTTAAAAACAATCTCTTCTTTTTAAGAAAAAAATGTATACTTGACAGAGTACCCACAGCAATCTTGTTTTCTGTAGATATCAGAATTGAATTCTGTACTCTGCCTATTTCTTGCCTTTGCAAGTTCTGCAAAGTTAATTACTCCAAACATAATCTCTAGTCTTGGGAGCTGGCACTTTGCCAAGTAATTTAAATTGCTTTCCTAAGGAAATTTATAATTTCTGTTTTGTTTTAGGTGATGTTACAGAAATAAGTTGTATATGCAATTAATTTATCCCTGGATGTTTGCTATCAATTAAAAGATGAAAATTGGGGTATTTTCATTGGAAGAGAGTGCAGATGACTGACTCTTCTTGCTTTAGCTGACTGGTCTCCACTCTCCTAAATATTTGGCTAAAAGGTTAAGCTCGTACTTGGAAGATGTAGTTTTACATGTTTGCTAGCTTTAATGGAAAACTCAAATCCTAATCTTCACAGTGATTTTTGAGTTAATATATTAATGCTTCTGAAAGAGTGTGTAAAATTCTTGAATATCCTGAAAAGTTACACATTACTACATAGTGCAATTTACAAGTTAGAAAGGTGACATTTTCAGGGCAGGAGAGATAGTACAGAGAGGGGTTAGATGTCTGTCTTCTGGCAGTCAGTCATGGTTAGATCAATAGAACCATGGTCCCCTGAAAACTTCCAAGTGTGCTCCCTGGGCACAGAGCTAGGGGTAAGCCCTGAACAGCAACAAGTGTGTGCCTAACCCTTCTGTACTTTCCCTACAAAAAAGTAGTAGTTTCAAAAACACTTTTAGTTTAAATTTTCCTAAAAGGTTAGATTAGTATTAGTTCTTATATTAGCACTATAGCACTGTCCTCCCATTGTTCATCAATTTGCTCGAGTGGGCACCAGTAACATCTCCACTGTGAGACTTGTTGTTACTGTTTTTGGCATATCAAATATGCCATGGGGCGCTTTACAGGCTCTGCTGTGTGGGTGGGATACTCTCGGTAGCTTGCCAGGCTCTCTGAGAGGGAGGGAGGAATTGAACCCAGGTCAGCCACATGCAAGGCAAACGCCCTACCCGCTTCATTACATAAATTTGCATGCATATATTTATATGACTATATTTTTATTTGTTTTAGGTTAGAAAACTTCAACATATTTTTATTTTGCTGTAGAAAGTAAAACATAAATCCATGACATTAGTGGATTGTGTTTCTTATCAATGCACTTGGGCTTGTCTCTTTAATTCTAAATTTTCATCTACCTTTGAGATTCTGAGTTATTTAATATCATAGTAAAATTGAAAAATGATAGTATCAGAAATGGAAGTAAAATGTTTGAGCTATTTCTTTGAATTATTGGATACATTTTAAGGAACATCTGACCAAAAGACATTTTATATTAGAGAGGAAGTAAATAACCTTTGAAAGGAATTGCTTGGTGTTCAAGAATTGAATGCTATCTACTAAAGATAACTTGATACAATAGAGCTCTGATTTATTGTTATTTGTTTCCATATACACATGTATTCATTAATGAAATTATTTTATATACCTAAGGACTCAGTATAATTTTAGCCATAATCTGTCTGTATTTATATTCATATTTATTCATGGGGTAATTCTGAGTTCTTATACCAGGCACTGTGCTAACATAATCACACCAATTAAACAAAACTGAACTCACTAAGCTTGTAATATAGAGTATGAGAACAGACATTTAGTTTAAAAAATAACAGAAAGGGTCTAATTATAAATTGCTAGTACCTTATAGAGGAATTAGGAGGGAGAGAAAGATCCAGAGATAAGGAGAGAAAGAAGTAGAATAGAATAGAAAGAATAGAATAGAATAGAATAGAATAGAATAGAATAGAATAGAGGAAGAGGAAATTCATTCTCATTTTCTCTTAGAGGAAGTGTTTCAAGAAGTACAACTTAAACATAGATCTAAGATGACCAGTCGTTAACAGGCAAAGTATAGAAAGAGCTTTTTTAAATTTGAGGAAAGAGCATGGATAAAGCACTTGAGACAGAAACAGATTTGTTGCATTTTCTGAATAAAAAAGGCAACCAACATGAATAGTATAATTAGCCAAGGAAACAGTAAAATGAAATATATAAGAGGTAGGCAAAGCTAGGTCATGCATAGTCTGAATGCCATGTTAATGACTTTGCATTTTATACTAATGCAAAAAGAAAAGAAATAGATCTGATCTGTATGTTTATCAGATCATTTGGGCTGCATTGAGAATAAGCAAGAAGGGAAGTAACAGAATCAGTGAGACAAATTAAAAGGCCATTCTTGGTGAGAAATGATGGGCATATAGTATAAAACGGTGGAAATAGAGTTGTGGGGAATGACTATATTTGTGATGCGTCTGGAGGTGAAAGCAGGAGAGAAACCAACATTGGGTGAAAAGGGAAGTGTATGTTTAATAGTTTTACGAGTATTTGACCTGGTCAGTGGGAGAGTGAATATGCTGATTACAGATCTGGGGGAATGTGGAAGGATGCAATCTAGAATTTCAGCATCAATGCAATGGTGAAAATAACAATAAAATATGTGTATGATTTTCTTCCTGGAGATTAAGGATAATAAAAAAGAAATATTAAGGGAAAAGATGGAGACAGAATTCAAATAATTAAAAAATAAAAGTCTCATAACAATGACAGAGGGTAGTAGGCTTGGGAACAGGTAGGTCCTTATTGGGATTGCTGAAGATGTGTAATTTGAAAAGGACACATTCAAGATTAAGTTACAACAAATTTTATTTGGGGAAAAAATAAACAAGGAGACCCTATGGCATTCATAACACAGATCACAGAAAGTACACTGAAAAGAATTGTTTCTCATGGGTTCACACCAAAGTAGATGCTATAGTCCCTGTATCAGTGAGTTTCTAGGGAGGAAAGCATCAAAATCACCAGTGGAGTTCAAGAAATGTAACATATGTTCATATACACACGAAAAGGTTTACAACAAAATGTAATCTTTAACACTGAGTAAGAGAAAGGAGATAAGAAGAAAGACTGAAAATAGAGAAAAGAGAGGAAGAAAAATGGATGGAGAATTTTTCAACAAGCAAAGATGTCTCTCTGCCATCAAGCTTGTGATGGCCTCCCAGACTTGCCAGCTAAGAGTGAGTGGACTTGGGCATGTCAGGAAATTTCTCAAGCTTAAATTTCCTTATTCAAAAAAGAAATGAATGATGCTAGTTACCTCACAGGGGATCAACACCTTGAATCATTCACCTTATGAACTATTCACAGAAACAGTTCATAAGAAGTATGAACAAAATGCCTGCCATGCAGGAAGAGCTCAGAAAATATTTGTTGCCATGATATAGCTGATGATAGATGTGTAATGACTAGAACGAAAGGCACCTCCTCTCTCCCAATGGCTAGGGTGACTCAGCTTCAAAGTGGAAGCTAGTTGCATGTATTTAGAAATACTGTTTTGTTAAAAAATATAGGGGGTTACTTAATATCTGCACAGCACTTTAAATTACCATTATGCTTTAATTGTTGCAAGTTAGTGAAAATTAGCATGCTGACTACACCATCACCATCAAAATTACTATTCACTCACTTCTTGAAATTCTAGATTCAATTTACAATGTGTTATTTAACTCCTCTAGAGAAGCAAGTAATTGACTTCTAACCTAACTCTGAACATGCCAAAACACAGATGACATTCTAAGATGACTCTATTGATATATCCATTTTCCCTTTGAGTTATTCTAATTCAGAAATTTCTTGGCCATAAAAAATTACAGAGATACTTTCTGTGAAAACAACTATTTAAGACTGTTATATTGTAAAAAGATCACAATTGGTGATCTCTTGATTTAAACTTTATTGCATTCGCCTTAAGAAACACTTCAAAGTCTAGCTTTCTCTACTTTGTGAAGTGTTTTAATTATCTACCACAGACAAGCTCTAGAATATTAATGCAAGCTTTTATGTTCAATATTTAGACTTAGAGTATTTGTTCACAAAGTTACTGTGAAAAGACTAGAAACATTCTAATGTTAAATCTGAACTCCACATTTATAGTTAATAGTATGATGGGGGAATTAATTTATCTGAGCCTCTGTCTTCTTCAATTAAATGAAAGTAAAAATAAAAGAGAATATTTATAGAAACTAGGTTTATATCATCTGACAATGGGTGAAATTAGGTCCCCTGAGTTCCACCAGAAATAACCCTAACACAGAACCAGGAGTGAGGCCCAAGAACTGTGAGGTGTATCCCCAAGCAAAAACGAATAATAAAGATTATATTCTTCATGATAAAATAGAATAAATTAATCCTACAACTTAGATGATTTGTTTAATATCTCAAGGAGTCAGATACATGGTGATATTAATTTAATATTTTGATCTTGATTGCATGTACTTCTTACAAAATATTATGCTTGGAACATTGTAAGTATTTATTATGAATTATTCAAGAACTGTTGTGTAATCTTTCTCTATGAAATAGAGATGGTTAAACATATATTTATTTACACATTTTGAAAAATATAGTTAATATATTATTGAAATGCATGAGAACCAAGAACATTTGGGATATCAAGTGATCATGTCTTAGGGTTCTGTGATCACGCTTGAGATAAAAGGCGGATGTTCTTAACTTCTCCCATCATGAAAGGGATCAGAACATCGCTCCATTGTGAGGAGAAGCTCAAATGCAAGTGAAGTGAGCGGCAGCAGAGCCCACCCTTTCATTCCTGGGAAGCACATGCATTTTGAGAAGATGAAGTGAGGAAGCGCATGCAGTACCTGGTCATCTCAGAGTCAGGGAGCAGGCCTAGGTGGTAGTGGGGGTAGGGAGATGAGAGAAGGAAGCTTTTGTCACACTCAACAGGGGAATAGTGCCTGGGAGAAGCAGGCTTATCGCACAGTTTGTTCACAGTGCTGTAAACAGGTTCCGGTGGCCTGTGACACAAGAGGAAGAGAAAGAATACTTGATTAGCACACGCACCAAACTACTATCCACCAGCAGCATTTCTCCACGCGCAAAAGTGAAAATCAACCACAGTTCCAAGCACTTCACTGAATCTGAGTTAAGAGATTAAGGATGATGTTTCACTAATAAAAATAAATAAATAAATAAATAAAAAAAGAGATTAAGGATGAGGGAAATAACTCCAAATTCAGTGGGCATGCTTTGAATGTAAGTGTTTTCAATCCCCAGCACTCCACAGATGTCACACACACACACACACACACATACACACACACACGCGCACACACACACGCACACATACACACACACTCCAGGGGGAACTCCCTCTCCCCCAACTCTTCCCCCACAAACTCCACCAGAGAAGAAGGAAAAGTCTTACAAAGAGAATATCAGATTAGAAATGAGAAGTCTGACTGACATCTCTCACAAAATACAATTAAAATTCACATACATGTTACCTGTAATTCATTCTAGAGATGTCAGACTTTTAGACAATACAGTCTTCAGTTGGGAGGTGGTTGCTTATGAATCTGAGGTTTATTTCGACCCATAACAAATTTATTCATATATATCCCATGCACATCTCACAGCTGATTTCACATAGCACAGCAGGTAGGGCTCTTGCCTTGCACGTGGCTGACCCGGGTTCGATTTCTCCATCCCTCTTGGAGAGCCTGGCAAACTACCAAGAGTATCCCACCCACATGGCAGAGCCTGGCAAGCTCCTAGTGGCGTATTTGATTTGCCAAAACCAGTAACAACACGTCTCACAATGGAGACATTACTGGTGCCCGCTCGAACAAAATTGATGAACAACAGCAGGACAGTGCTATAGTGCTGTGCTATTGAATTATCTGGAGATATTGTCACATCATTTAAAACAACCACTTTCTTTAATGCTTGCTACCTATAAATATACATAGAATTATCAAGGTAAATTTTGTATATATTTTTTGGTATAAGACCTAGTCTTTAGTAAGTAAAACAAACTCACAACTCTATCTTCAACTCTTAACATATTGTCTAAATGTGTTATCATTATCTTCTTTTATAGAAAGGGTTAAAAGATATGATTTTTCAATGAAAGAATTATCTGGCAGTCTCAGCCATGTAGTTCAAACAAAATCGACATGAAAGGTAAAGAACAGGGCACTATCATTGGGACCACATCTAGTTGAGGCACATAGTATCATGGGGCCACAGGATACCAGAATGGCAAGTAGCTGAGCAGAGGGACAGGAAGTATAGACAGGTGTTGAACTCCGAACACAGTTTCTGCTTCTATAATTCCCCAGGAAGGCCCCAAGTGTCTATCAGGTGATAACCCCACGTTTTCTGAACCGATTGAGGAAGAATGAAGAGAAAAGGAAGAGAGCAAAACACTGAAAAAAACAAGCTTTACCAAATTACAACATTTGCACAGGCTCATCATGGCTTAGGTACACTTTCTAAAGAAATAGCTTTTCCCTAACACAAGGCTTTCTTACATATAGAAACATACTTTGATCTATATCATGATAGCTTCAGGGTAGACAGAAAAAAACTCAGCAACTTATTCAGTTCTCTGTAATGACCTTTTTAGAGGCAGATGAGATGCTTAGTTCACCAGTGATTAACAACAATAATATTTATAAGAATAGGTTTCTTAAATAATATGGTATTTTTAGGGATGCCAACATAATTTGGGGGTAAGACTCAGCACTCTTTTTTCTAAAACACCTTCAGTTTACATATACATATTGGCCAGAGAGACAGTACAGACTCTTGCCTTGCATGTAGCAAAACAGGATTTGATCCTTAGCATAATATATGGGCCCCCAAGCACCTCAGGAATGACCTCTGAAGAGAGAGCCAGGATATTCCCTGAATACATCTGAGTTTGGTCCCAAAACAAAAAACAAATAAAAAGATGTTTCTGTTTATCTATTATATCTGCATAAGTTGTACTATACACCAAATCCTAAGACATATAGTTGCAAAACTATTCTTTTAAAAGGGAATTTTAAAAATCAGTTTTCAGAATTAATTCACACTGTGTGAAAAGATCTAAAAGGAAAGATAATTCTAATAATTCCAATTATCTAATAAGATGGACATTTACAAATTTTTTGAATATTAAGTCATACCTGCCTATACTCAGGGTTTAAGAATCAATCTAAAGAATGAAATAAACAGTACAAACAGTAAAGCATCATTGTAGAGTCTGTTTCATTCATATCACAGCTGGACCACAATCTATATGCTTAAATTCTTTTTTATAATTAAATAAGACCTACTATAGACAGATACACTTCTCAAAATAGACTGACAATCTAATTAATAAAAACAAGTGTTTTTATTAGTAGATCTCACCATAAAGTATTAACATATTTAATTATATCGGTGGTTCATCTACATAGCTAAATATTAAGATAAAAGCTTATTTTTGATTATAAAATTCAGTTCCAAAAGCTATTTAGAGAATCATTCAACTTTATTAAGCGATACTATATGTACAAAATGGTAGCTGATGTAAACTGCCAGTATAGGACATAAGTATAAAAACTATTATCATTTCTTTGGGGTCAAAAAAATACCATGATTAAATATCATTTCAGTAATACTATACTTTTTGCCTTGAAAACTGAAGTTGGCTTAAAGAAAATGATATGACCGGGGCTGGAGCAATAGCACAGCAGGTAGGGCGTTTGCCTTGCATGTGGCCGACCCAGGTTCAATTCCCAGAATCCCATACGGTCCCCTGAGCACTGCCAGGGGTAATTCCTGAGTGCAGAGCCAGGAGTAACCGCTGTGCATCGCTGGCTGTGACACAAAAAGCAAAAAAAAAAAAAAAAAAAGATATGACCAATTTTACCTTAGACCTTTTCCTGATTAGCACTAGATTTTGAGACAAATAGTCTGAATCAAAGCTGCCTACCTAATATGTATTTTAAGAAAAGAATTCTGGGGCTAGACAGACAGCACAGCGGGTGGGGCGTTTGCCTTGCATGGGACCGACCCGGGTTCGGTTGCCAGCATCCCATATGGTCCCCTGGGCAGCGCCAGGAGTAACTTCTGAGTGCAGAGCCAGGAGTAACCCCTATGCATCACCAGGTGTGACCCAAAAAGCATAAAAAAAATCTACTTCCACTCAACTAAATTAAGGAAGACATTTTACTTTCTAAAAAATAAGGTGATATGGCAAAGCCTGGCAAGCTCCCCGTGGTGTAATCGATATGCCAAACAGAGTAACAATTGTCACAATGGAGATGTTACTGGGACCGCTCGAGCAAATCGATGAACGACGGGAGGACAGTGACAGTGACATTGTCTAGTGATGAACTCTTGAGCCTTCTACTATTGTCATTTAGAACCATCTTATGGAAAAATATTATTTAATAACTCACTTATAATGGTGCTTATTTATTTTGAAGATTTTAGTTGGAGTTTTTATTTGGAACAGGCTTGAACATCTTGGTGTTTCTTATAGACTGAACTTAATCATAATTCAAGACTTTATCAATACAATGGTATATTCACTCATTCTTATATGCTCATAGATAGCACAGTGGGTAGGGCGTTTGCCTTGCATGCGGCTGACCCAGGTTCGATTCCTCCGTCTCTCGTAGAGCCAGGTAAGCTACAGGGTAAGCTTACAGAGAGTATCTCTCCTACACGGCAGAGCCTGGAAAGCTCCTTGTGGCGTATTCGATATGCCACAAACAGTAACAAGTCTTATATTGGAGATGCTATTGGTGCCCGCTCGAGCAAATTGATGAGCAGTGCAAGGACAGTGCTATAGTGCTACTATTATTATTAAAATAGCAGGTTCTCTTTTTACCTATTATTCAGTTCATTACCCCCCTCATTGATTTATACTCTATTTTACAATATCACTGGCTAAAGATTAGATACAGAGCAGGTAGAGCTAGAGTAGAGTTGGTTGGGAGCTTGCCTTGTTTTGTTATTTGAATTGACCTGGGTTCAATCCCTGCCACTCCATTTGGTACCTTGAGTTCTGTCAAGAGTGATTCCTGAGTACAGAGCCAGGATTATGTCCTGAGCACTGCCGGATGTGACCCCTAAACACAACAAAATCACAAATCATCCTGTTAATCGTCGATTGCCTCGAGCAGGCCCCAGTAACGTCTCCTTCATCCTAGCCCTGAGATTATATTCAAGGCTCTTTAGGAGAATGAGACCCATCATTGTTACTGGTATTTGGCATATTGGGTACGCCACGGGGAGTTTGCCAGACTCTGCCGACCCCTAAACAACAACAATAAATAGGTACAGAAAATTCAGTTGATTGTCTTAATTCTCAGATCACATAATATAGCAGAAGATGGGTACATGACAAAACACTACATCAAAACACTACAAAATATTTAGACAAACATCTCAGAATAGTGTCAGCATTCTCTTGCAACCCAACAGCTAAATTAAAAGGTGCCACTTTGAATCTTCATTCAGGTGACACAAAAATGGGATTCAAATTAGATTTATGAGCTTTATACTCTAACGCTAGTATTCTCTCATGCATTATGTACCATCTAGACCACAGTGCAACGTCTGGTTATTATCATCCAATTTATAGTCTGAACATAAGGAATGGCACAAAGGTCTTTGAGACATAATTCTTAAGACAAATGGTAATTTTTTAAAAGCCATTTTTAGTACGAAGCAGTAGCTCTAGAGACACTCTTAACTAGTATTAAATAAATTTAAAAAAGAAAGAAAGAAAGGAAAGAAAAAGGGAAAGAAACAAACAAGCAGGCCCCAAATAGAGTCATTCATGCCACTTCATATCTAATCTAATTACAGTTTGAGTCACTACTTTAAGTAGAAACTTAAGAGAATCAATCAGGAGTTCTGTGGTGAGCAGTAGGAGGTAATCTGCTTGAAAAGACTCTCCACTCCTTCCTTTTCCTGGTGGAATGAGACTTTTACTGAAGTCATCTTTTTTCCCCTTCGGCTAATGACATTGTCC